TGCGGGCCGGATTAACTCCCTGGAAACCGGCTGCAATCTGAGCAGCTGCAAATGTCCCCCAACCCGGGAGATGGGGCGGAGGCGGGGAACGACATCCGCCGCCCAGATGTTGCGCCGCGATTAGGGAAGGGAAAAAACAAATCTATCATCCGCTGCTTTTGGGAAGGGCTGGGCTGGCTGGGATCCGGCAGCCCCTCCTCTTCCTCCTCCCTCCTCCTCTTCCTTCCCCTCGCAGCCTCGCTCTCCTCTCCCGGCCAGCCGCCTTCCGCGGAGGGGGCGAGACGAGCGCAGAGCCCGCAGCCCCCCCCGGCGACAAGCCATGGGCGACATCCCCGGCCTCGTGAAAATCAGCGTCTCCCTCAAAATCCAGCCCAACGACGGGGCGGTGTGTATTTCAAAGTGGACGGGCAGCGCTTCGGCCAGAACCGCACCATCAAGCTGCTGACCGGGGCCAAGTACAAGATCGAGGTGGCCCTCCAGCCCGGCACCATCCAGGCCACGTAAGTGCAGCCTACCTGCTCGGGGCGGCTCCCCCGGCCCTCCGTTCCCCGATGCTTTATTTTTAGAGGTTTAATATTTTTTCCTGGCAGGCTGACAGCACGGGGTTTCTGTGATTTCTCCCTCCCTGCCTTTTTCCTTTGGTGGCCCCACTCCTAGGTCCCTGGCCAGCTGTTCCCAGTGCTTTGCCCGGCTGGCTCAGGAGAGAGGCTGCATTTTGGAGTCACTTCCTTCCCTCTCCTTCCCCACCTTCTCCCGGAGCTCTTTCAAGCCCAGCTCCTTTTCTCCCTCCATCCCCGCAGTTTGCCCTGGAGGCAGAGAGAAGAGGCCCCTCTGGCCCCGCATGTCAGGGATGCACCATGCCCAAGCCTTGCTGCAGCATGGCAAAGCAGAGACTGGGACGAGGGAGGATGCAGATGGGGAGCCGGCTCTGGGTGGAGAGACAGTCCTGGAGAAGGACTAACCTCTCCCCAGCTACTCGAGATCAGATCCCTTCTGCCTTTCCTTTCTACACCTTCCCTGGGTGACTGCAGAGCCCTGACATTTTTCAGGAGCCTCAGTGAGTCAGCAGCACTTGCAGGTCTGCTAAAATCCATGAAGCATCCCCCAGCACAGAGGTGCCAGCCCACATGCTGGCTCCAAGCTCCTAGGGAAGGGGACCTGCAGGGCTGCTGAAAGGCTGGATCCTGTCTCTTTGCAGGACAATGGGCATCGGGGGTGTCAATGTCCCACTGGAAGAGAAATCGAGGGATGCACAGGTGGCCTCTTACACAGGTATCTACGACACAGAAGGGGTGCCCCCTACCAAGAGCGGGGAGAGACAGCCCATCCAGGTCAACATGCAGGTACGCGGTTCTCCAAGCCGGGCGTGGGAAGACAAGGGAGGGCAACAGGAAGTTGACTCCCAGAGAGGGAGTTGTGGAGGTGAAATATTCCAGGGCAAAGTCTGATCACAGCTGCTGCGCTCCTCTCTGCTTTGCATCAATAAGACCGCTGGTCAGAGCGTAGCTGGAAAACACAAGCCCTGCTTCCCAAGGGGAAGCCAAGAGGGCAGCAAGGGCCAGGAAGCAGCAGGGGGATTTCTAGAGATTCGCATAGCCCTTTGGGGTGCTGCAGGAGAAACAAACAGGAGCTGAACTTCTCACCTTTTCTGCAGGGCATATTATAGACTTCAGGCAACTCCCACCAAGGACCCCGGCTAGGAATCCAGTCCCAAGCCCTTGGCATACCAGGACCCTCCTTTTGCCTGCCAGCACTGCCAGGTTTTTTGGAGCACAGCATGCCCCAAGCACAAGGGGTGACTATTCTCCCCTTCCACCTGTCATCTGCAGGATGCCTGAGGACTTGCCAGAGGCTGAAAGCATGTGTGAGAACACAGCTCCCTCCCCCCCCCCCCCCCCCCCACAAACCTCTCACTCCTGA